CAGGTGTTCATGACGGGGGTGAACCCGCTGGCGAAGGACACGTACTACGAGGCAATCGGGAGTTTTCAGCGTGCGATGCGCGACTACCTGGCGAACAGTGGGCAGACGGACTATGCCGACAAGGATTATTTCCTGAAGCATGATACTGACGGCGAGCTGATGGTTGGTGGGTGGATTGCTGGCGAGGTGTTCGCACAGGCGCTGCGTAATTGTAGAGGGGCGAGGGATCGCTGGTGGTTCATGAAGTGTATCTTCAACCAACGCCGGTATTTAGTCGACGATCTTGTGTTCGGCGACTACGGTGGGGATTGCAATAGTATGGCGGAATCACAAGGGGCCGTCTGCAACTGCAACCAAGGCGGCAACGCTGTGTACATGAAGAAGTACGTGGAGGACTACCGTGCACAGGTAGCTAGTGAGGGGTTTATGACGTTTCAAGCTGTCAGATTGTCGCGCTTCAATGATAAGTGTGCCGCCGGTGTTGCTTGGGGCGATGTTTCGTATGAGTGATAGCGCTGTTGCACAAGCTGCGTTTTCTGCGTTGGACGTCGGGCTTTCTCGGGCATCTGTAGGCCATACTACCTCGTGGGGAAAAGCTGAGATCACCATGGCTTCTGTTGACTCCGCCCTTGGCACCGCGCGTGACGTCCTGCAGTCGGAGATGCAATCACGGCGTGTTCATGGGGTTTTGGGTGTTGTGACGGAGGTGATGCTGGATGTGGGGAGTGTGGTCTTCATCGACCCGCTGCAGCTTGAGCCGCGGCTGAACGGGTTCCGCAGGCACGTGATCCACCTGTCGCCGACGCTGGAGCAGCAGTTCTTCGTGCTTGCGGAGTACCTCGGGAACACGAGTGTCCGTTCGGCGCACGCGGTGATCCGCGGCGAGGAGGCAGCTGCGGTGGCGGATGTGCTGCGGCGGTCGCTGGTGACGTTCGGCGGGTCGCTGCGGTCCCCGACGCTGCTGGCCGGCGGCGACGCGCTGGCGGGTCACCTGCCGGCGGAGGGCGACGTGTTCGTGGCGGGGCTTGCGGCTGGCGACGTCGCCGCGATCGCGAAGCACGTGGCGTCGCATGGCCGTGTGCGTGTGTTCGTTGCGTTCTCCGAGTTTGCGCTGCTGCACGCCGACTTCGTCGCTGCGTTCGCCGGCGGTGCGGGTGCCGACCGCGTTGTGTTCGCGACGAGCCTGCCGCACTGGAACGAGACGAACTCGACGTCGAAGACCGCCCAGGATTTCATCCGCAGTGTGCCCAACGCCACGCAACGGACGCCGCTGTCGCTGAGGGCTTTCGCTACCGCGCGGCTGCTGCAGACTGTTCTCTCGCGCATGGACAAGGTGAATGCTGACCTGCTGGCTCACTTCTTCTACATGAACATCGCTGTCACCGTGGATGACATGCTGTACGGATCCTTCGCTAACGACACGGTGTGCGACGCAGCTGGCGGTGCTGGGTGCGGTAAGAACTACGGGGCGACGTTTATTTCTGTGTGGTCGCTTGCCCGTGCGCTGGACCCCGCCGTGCCCGTGCTGTTCCCCGCCGTGACCCCGTCGATGCAGTACGCGGAGCCCGGTAGCTGGCTGACGATGGCGCAGCTGATCGGCATCATCGTCGGCGTGGTGCTGCTGCTCACCATCGTTGTGGCTGTGGTGGTTGTGGTGCTGCACTTCTGCCGCAACTCGCGTGACAACGCGAATGCGCCGAAGGAGCCGACAGACCCCGTGACGCTCGTGTTCACCGACATCGAGAGCAGCACGGCGCTGTGGTCCGCGTGTTCCGAGTTGATGCCCGACGCCGTGGCGACGCACCACCGTCTGATCCGCGTGCTGATCGCGAAGTACGGCTGCTACGAGGTGAAGACGGTCGGCGACTCGTTCATGATAGCGTGCAAGAGTGTGTTCGCCGCGGTGCAGCTTGTGCGTGAGCTGCAGCAGGTGTTCCTGCGGCACGAGTGGGAGACGAGTGCGCTCGACGCCGCGTACCGAAAGTTTGAGGAGGGCCGGGCGGAGGAGACGGAGGGGTACGTGCCGCCGACTGCGCGCCTGGACGCCGCTGTGTACCGGCAGTACTGGGGCGGTCTGCGGGTGCGTGCGGGGGTGCACACCGGGCTGTGCGACATCCGGCGCGACGAGGTGACGAAGGGGTACGACTACTACGGCGACACGGCGAACATGGCGGCGCGCACGGAGAGCGTGGGGAACGGCGGGCAGGTGCTGCTGACGCGTGCGG